GAGAGGGATACTCCCACTGGAATATCCCATTAAGTGGATTATCCCTCCGTGCAGCAGAACCGACATTTCACATAAAAATTTATAACTTTAACATCATTCACTTTATTTAAACGAATGGACGTTCGGTAGATAGCTGGGGTCTGAGCGCACAGTTCGTGAGAATACCGCTCAGATCCCAGCATAACTAACCGAACGCCGCACGAAATACACATTATTTTCAAGGTTCATCCAAAATACTGATTAACAGTAGGGGAATAAACAACCGAATGACCGGGGCTCCCGAACGGCCTGGAAGTCCAGCGGTATTCGTGCTGTCGAGTAGCCGATTTTAGTTCCAGGCGCTCGACAACCAAATACCGCTGGGCTAACAAAGGATCCAAAATGGCCAACCGCCGCGTGGTCAGTAGCCGAACGGCGGCCACCCTGAATCTCAATAATTACCGATTGGAAACAATGTTGCAATATGTAATGGGAGCCACACGACCTCCTGTGTGTGGTCTCCCATTCGGTAGTTTGTTCGTTTCACAAACAGTGTTGAAATTCACTGTTCGTGAAACTACTGTATGGATGCTGGTGGCTTTAGGCCGCCAGCATAGGAATGCTCTTGTTCACCTAAAATACAACAGTAGGTATACTCTTGGTTCTACATCCTTAAAGCGACAGCAATAGATTAATACAAATACAGTTTAAAGTGGCTAGTTTTTCCACAGTTGTAACCCTTAGAAATAGGTAGTTCCATGATAAAGTCCATAGACAAATGGGACAATGGACTACTGGGTATAGGAAGCGGTTGTAAAAGCCCACAAGGTAGTTTATGGGGAACCTTAGAAACCACACAAACAGTACATGCCTCCACATACTCTCTGATATATTTTCTAAGAGAAGGGCACCAAAAGGACCTGGAAATAGCGTACAAGGTTTTATTAATACCTGGATGACCCGCCGTCACATTATCGTGAAACACTCTTAGTACCTCCTCTCTTTTCAGTAACAGAATACATAGTTTATCTTGAGGTTTGTCACTAGGGGCTGAGCTGCCATTATAGCACAAAGGAGAGGAGAAGACAAGGATAGAACTGTAGAGGCAATGATACATTCAGGTGGTATGATGGGAAAGATATCTTGTTCTTGTTCAGCCTCTAGGTCAAATTGTCAAGATAGGGCGTCTGCCTTAACGTTCTTAGGACCAGGCCCGTACGTGATGAGAAAGTTAAAGCGTGACAAGAATAACGACCAGGGAGGAAGTGACAGATAATCACTTCCTCCCAGCAGTCTCTGCAAACATTAAAGGGCAGAGGGCCACAGAACCGACTGGGCCCCCATATGAGACCTGTCTGGATTCCTCCTGCCATTGCCGACACTACAGGTGCCCGACGAGGCTCTTCAAGAGCTGCAGCACCCGGCCAGGCCCCTGTTTAGCGATAATACCCATTGGGTGGCCCTTAGTGCTAGACCTTAGACCTATATAAATTATTTTTACTATAGTAACCAATTCTGAAACTGTAATAATCAGAATTTATTAAATGTATGAGTTCCCGGGGCGGGGCCTGATGGCCAAGATGGCCAGACGTGTTCTGCATTAGCTCCTGCATAATTAAGCAAAACATAATTTTTTCAAGCTACATACCAAGTTGGATTCAGCCCCAATCGACTGGTAAACGGTCAGACAATGAGTGAGCAACTGTGGCTAATCCAGATGACCCAAGACAGTGAGTCTCACAGCGCCTGACAATGAGGCCTAGAATGAATTGTAGCCAAGCGCCTGGGAGAGATGCCCTCTCTCCCAACATGAAGCAAGCCCCTGACAATGTCGATATTGGAGCCCAGCGATCCCCCCCCCCCCCTTTGGACGAGTCGGGGTTATACTGGTCCACACTGGGGGCACCTAACTACCCACTACAAAGGAACCCCCCATTAACCAGCCGACATCATGGCGATCCCAAAATAGCCGCGGCAGTGCAACTCAAGCAACAACAAGAGCACGAGTCCTGGAGGGAAAGTTTTGAAGCCCGTTTCAACAGGATCTGCCAGGAATTTTGGGCTAAAATAGCAAGCAGACCTCCAGCTTCTACTCTGCATGGCGAATATGTCACTCGGGCTGCTGAGCAGAGACCCAGATCATGCGCCGGAACGGAGAGTCATGCTGGAAAAACTGCATCGAACCGTCCATTTTCCCCGTCAATTTCTTTGCCTGTTCCTCAAACACTAATTACAAAGTTACATAGTTACATATGTAATCAGTGTTTGAGGAACAGGCAAAGATAATTCAGTACAGTTTCTTCTAAATCTCATCACTTGGCCTCTAGGGATATTGCTCAACCAGGGACCATAGTAACAACTATCAAAGAAAATAAAACTATTTATATCAACTATTTTTAAAAAAGTCATAGTTTGGATATATTACCATGCCCACCACTTATTCACATGTTTTTCCCTTGTATCATAGATTTCCTCTGTGTTTCCCTATGTATTTCTGTGCCTTTCGTGTCTTGTGCCCTGTTTCCCGTTCGGGAGAGTTCATACAAAAAAAAACTTGTTCGTCTCCGGAACGGGGACCATCCCAATATCCCATTTAGAACGCTCATTAGAATGTTCAGAAACCGCAAGGGAAAGCACTAACAAGTGCTCCCCTGGGTGGCCGCCAGTTCGTATAGCCGAACGCCAACCAGGGGAAGCATTCATATCCTGAACTGGCCTGCCCGCACTGTTTCAAGTCCCCATGTCGGGGATCGCCCTTCCTGCTCCTAAAGGAGCCATAATCACTGTTTCTCCCTAACTGCGAGCTGCGAGGCCAGCTCGTAGCTGCCCAGAGAGCTCTCTCCCCTGGGCTGCCTAAGTGGAGGTATCTATCAGAGAGACGTGGCCCCAGTGGAATCCCTGGAGCTGTGAGTCGGCTTCACAGCCACGGAGACCCGCTGGCCGCCTGGAAGTCCGTGCCGATCAGTAGGAGAAGGAGTTCACATTCA